TAAATACGGCTACTGGATGCACCAGCGCACCGCACCGCCCGCTTTCTCCTACCGGATATCCGAATCCCAATCCTAGCGCACCAATGTCTGACGCCTCGCAATTTTCCACGACGCGCCTGCGCGCAGCCCCCGCGCCGCACGGCGCCTTTTCGCGCTACCGGTAGGTGCGACGTCCCCGAACGCGGCGTTAGCTGACGCGCATGGCATTGGCAGCAAGATGCTGCGCGAGCCGGTCGCGGAGTTCCTGGGCGTCGCGGTGCTCGTCGTCTTCGGCGCGGGCGTGAACTGCCAGGTGCTCCTGTCCTCCGTGCCCGGCGTCGCGGCTTCCCCTAAGGGCGTACGTGCTGCCAGTGCCAGCCTCCCGGCCCGCATCTAACCTGATCGACGGACGCAGGACTACCTCTCTGTGTGCTTTGGCTGGGCCGTAAGCGTCCCGGAGCTGGCTTGTCCCTGTTGCGCTAACTCTCCGCGCACGCTGCAGGCCGGCCTGTGTCTCGGCGTGTGGGTCTCGAACGGTATTTCGCCCGGGCACATCAACCCTGCGGTACGTCGCGACCCATCCCAGCGACATCTCGTCCCCTAACGGCTGTTTTGCGTAGGTGACGCTGGTCATGGCCACATGGCGTGGCTTCCCCTGGAAGAAGGTCCCGGTAGGTCGCGGCGAAGTGGCCTGGACAGCACTGACGTGCCGCGGCAGGGCTTCATCTTTGCGCAGACGCTCGGGGGCTTCATCGGCGCCGGGCTCGTGTACGCCAACTACTCACACGCGATCGACATCTTCGAGGGCGGCGCGGGCGTGCGCAGCATGAAGACCGCCGGCGTGTTCGGCGCGTACCCCGTAGGCCCCCCTCCTCCCCTTGAACACCACCCCCACTCACACGCGCGGCAGGCGGACTACCTCCCCGCCAGCTCCGCCTTCTTCTCCGAGGCGCTCGGCACCGCGCTGCTCGTGCTCGTCATCCTCGCGACGACGGACGCCACGCGCGGCGCGGCGCTATGCCCCGCGGGGCTCTTCCCGCTCGTCATCTTCGTCGCGCTGCTCGGCATCAGCGCGGCGCTCGGCGCGCAGACGGGCTTCGCACTCAACCCCGCACGCGACTTCGGCCCGCGGCTGCTCAGCGCGGCGGTCGGGTACGGCGGGGAGGTGTTCAGCTTCCGGCGGCAGTACTGGTTGTGGACCGGCGTCCTGGCGCCGGTGATGGGTGCGCAGGTTGCCGCGCTGTTCTACGACGCGTTTTTGTACACGGGTACGGAGGGCGCCGTGGGGCGGCTGTAAGTGCCTTCTGAGTGCGCCGGCATGGTTTAATTTACATTTCCTGCAGGACGTCGGCGGGAGGGAAACAGCCTGCGATGGTGGACGAGGGGGCGGAGGTGGTTTAGGTCTTTAGGTTCATGATCGCGGATTCAAGTTTATGGATTTACGGATTTATGGACTTGCTTGACGCATTTCACGCTGTCTTCTTTTCTTTTGCACGATTTCTTCTTTGCTCTTCGCGCGATAGTACGATTTCGCGCGCTTGGTACGATACGATACGATACGATACGATACGATACGATACTTGTTAGTAGGTGATGCGTTATTCGGATGTTTTTGATGCTTGCAGGGACTTGAGGCCTGAGGCCTGAGGCCTTGAGCGCGAAGCCCGTCTGCGCGCCCGCGACGAAGAGCACGACTGGTAAACCCGTACGCCTGACGACGACACTGCGGAGGCGACTCGGAGCAGGCTGCCATTCGATGGACGCCGATCCGGGGCTAACAGCTGAGTGGGTTCGAGCCCTCAGCGCTGAAGCCTCAACCTCGCGCACGACTTCGGCCCGCGGCGGCCGGGTACCATGATTAAACTGACCACTCGTTTTCAATTGTTAGAACTTACCAGTCCGATCATCTAGACCGAAATGACCGCATAGACGAATGAGCCCCCATTGACAGGTGAAAGCAAACTGGTTCGGCAGGCTTCCAATCCGGCCTCCGCACTACACCGTCTCGCCGTAATGACATGCGACGCAGGAGGTTCATTCCAGCTGCCCAGTATCCCTGTCGCACTGTATTCTATTGGCTAGTATACGCAAAAGGTGAGCCGATCCACGAATGAATTTGGCTAGTACTTCTGCTGAGTTCCCATTTAATTGAAAGATAGAGTGTACGCAGAACGAGTGTGTTCATTCCGGGCACCGGGCTTAACGTCCCTGCCAAGCTGAAAAATCACTCCACCCCTGGCCTAGACACCGCAGAAACTCTGTTAATTTTTCCCGTCAACGGTCACTACAATTACCTTTCACCCCTTGTTTAAAAAAACCCAATTTGGGTAGAAAGAAGAACGGAGCAGGCAGGCTGTCTAAGCGTGCGTGCGGATCATCTCGGTCGGCGTTTCCAACTTCCGAACAACTCCCACGTAACACGCAGTGACGGGTCGAACTAGATGAAGAATTAGTTTCGTGTTCAAAATATGTAAATATTTTACTTGACTCCACGTTCAAAAACCAAAGACTCTTCGGCAATGTAACCACGTACTCGATAATCCAACAACTACGGAACTCGGGGGTAACTCTCGTTGCTTACAACCATGTCGCCTGCGAGGTACGTGGTCCGTGGCCCTGAGTCGGGGTGATCCAGGGGTCCATACAATGAATATGGCTCCAGTGCCCCTGGAATGAAGTCCCGACAGAGGCTTGTCGTGCTGGCTCCAGGTTGGGGTGCACAGTCCCATATACTTATTCGGGCGCTGAGTCGGGGTTTGGCCGTGGACAGATAGGGTTGCTAACCACGTCTGCCTACATAGCAGAAGGTCGGCCTGATTGTTTACGGTATAGAATACTGAAGAAGTCGTTGAGAGATTAGAATGTGTCCGTCAGAGCGGATTCCGGGCCAACTTTAAGCCATGTAGTATCAGCAGCGCAAGTTGACTCAAATAGACTGGGTGACTCTGGTCAGTAAAAATATGTATTCAGCTTGGAATTTGAGGGGCATCAAATGGAATGTGCAAGACTCAGTCCAAGATGCTAGCCACGTTGAAGTGGAATTGCAGAGATGTGCCACCCATTGAACCTGAACGATCCATAATACTGAAGGGGGTTTGAGGTAATAAATGATTGCAACACTCTACGTGAACGAGAGTTCTTCATATATCAACATTCACACTACCCCTGGAATTGAGAGCCTGGAGCAATACTTGTCGTGATGGGTGCCGGATTGCTTTTCGAGTATAGATATTTCCTGGCAAATGGGGAAATGCAACAAAGGAGATAAATGGGTGAAAGACGGCTGTCCGATTATTGCGCAAATATTTGCAGCGAGACCAATGAATTTTCTGACGTGGGCAGGCCAGGGCAGAGCAATTACATGCCGTTAAGCCCGGTCCCGGGGATGAATGCACACTCGGTCTTGCGATTGAATGGGAAATATCAGCAGAAACTCAAGGCGGTGATGTCAGGAGAACCGGCTCACTTCCCCGTCCAATATTCAGACTACGCGGATAACACCATTAGAATACAATGCGACAGGAACGTTGGGGGCCTGGGATCAAACTCCTGCGTCACATGTCATTACGGCGAGACGGGATTGGAAGCGTCCCGGAGCAGTTGCTCTCCGTCTGGTGGCACTTCTGGGGCATTGCCTATGTGGCAAATTCGGTCTAGACTGGCAGTTTCCGATGTATAAAAGGCGCACCGATTTTATCACTCAACTAACTCATCAGCTCCCAGCTACAGTCGCCCACTCATCCTTCAAACCATCCCATCCCTACCACTTCATCCAATATGCCTTCTCCCGTTGAGTCTGGTCAAGAGATCATGATCCCGTTGTTCGACGCCGAAAGTGCTGGAGCCCCAGTGCACGTCAACTGGCAGCAGAGTCTGTCTCAGCGCAAGGCAGACTACTATGCACTTACTGCAGATAACATCACCACCGGTTGGTCGCTGTCCTGCGTTCAATCCAGATTAATTGACCTTACCTCGTGACAGGCGAGCAGGTTCCCTTCTTCATCGCCGCCGAGTACTACAAGAGCAGCACGAAGGCGAACCCGAGTCACATCACCAAGGTTGGAGAACTCGTTGAGCGCGGTACGCTAGCTTTATACTTTCCTCGTCCTGCTCTTCTCATCGCTTGTCCAAAAGAGGGCTACAAATTGAAAGTCGACGGCAGGTTGCAGTACGGCCAGAAGAATGCTCAGGGCGAGCTTCGTTTCATTGTCTACCATGATAAGGAGCGCAAACCATACCAGGTAAGTGTGAAAATTGATCCAGAGGCGAGAGACTGACAGAGAACATAAGCACCGTTTTATTGAGACCGCCGTGGGTTCCGCGACGGCAGGCAAGGCTGCGGAGATGGCCAAGGCCTTTGGTCTCGGGGTAGCTGCCGGTGACCAGATCATGGACCACCTCAAGGCCATTGTCGGCGACTACCTCCACACCTTCTAGGTGCAGATGGTGAGCATGGATTTACTTCCAGAAAGTCGATTGATGCCTCACAGACGCCCAAGCATCTCATATATAGCGGCACTTTGGCTCCGATAAATTGGGAGAAAATCAAGTACAAAAGCATATAACGAGAAAATCCACACATTATATACTTTATGCCTGTCTTCTGTTTCTTCAGTTATGACCATCTTATTGCTAACTCGCGACTCGCGTTCCTCTTACGCTCTATAAACAAAAAAATATCTGTCCGCCCCGGTGACACGATTTGTGCCAAACAACCAAAGCGCTCCTATCTCGAATGAGCTTTATAAGCTAAGGGACCTCTCCTGCGGCAAACCATTTAAGTTTGAGTGTCAGTAGTATTTAATATTCATTCAGTCCACTGGCATCGCTGGCCGCCAATTCTATTAACATCCGCCACAGCCATCGTCCACACCTGCTCCGAATACGGAGGTGAGCGATCCCCAGCAGCAAAAGGTGCCTGTTCGAATCAGGCCCGAGCCATCGCCTTCTAATGGCTCTTCTATCTCTGCTAACTGCCGAAAAAGACCTTCATAGATCGAGGCTGAGTTCTAGGTATCAAAGGCTCGGTGGTGGATGGTCCACGCCTGCTCCGTATAGGTAACAAAGATTTTCAAAAGCAGGAGGAGCCTGTTCGAATCAGGCCTGAGCCATTCGTCCAACACGATCACGATTTTTTGTTCGGGAAGGGGAAAGGAATGCGGCATAAATTGAGGTTGCATTCAGAGTCAATAAGGCTCGGTGGTGGATGGTCCACACCTACATCTTATGGATGAAAGCGAAAGGTCATGTAGGAGTCGTCTGTTCGAATCAGACCCGAGCCATTCATCGACTTGTTGTATTTTTTATCTGGGAACGGGAGAGAAATGCCGCGTAAATAGAGGTTGAATTTAGGGTAAATAAGGCTCGGTGGTGGATGGTCCACACCTGCTCCGCATAAAGCATGGAGAATATCAACGGCAGGAGGTGCCGGTGCGAATCAGGCCCGAGCCATGGCTCAGAAAGATCCCAATTTTTTGTCTGGGAAGGGGAGAGGAATGCAGCATAAATCGAGGTTGAGTTCGAGGGGAGTAAGGCTCGGTGGTGGATGCTCCGAACCTGTTCTGCATCCGGATTCAAGCGATAACCGACACAGCAGAAGGAGCCTGTTCGAATCAGGCCCGAGCCCTGGTGCAGGCCTGAGACTTTTTCTGTATCCGTAGAAGAAGTTGTTGCATAAATTGAGGTTGAGTTCAGGGTAAGAAAGGCTCGGTGGTGGATGGTTCGCACCTGCTCCGCATCTGCATCCAGAGTGACCAATATTCAACAGCAAGAGGTGCCTGTTCGAATCAGGCCCGAGCCATTTGTCAAAATGGTGTCTGTTTTTGTCCGGGAAAGGGAGAGGAATGCGGCATAAATTGAAGTTGAGTTCAAGGTAAATAAGGCTCGGTGGTGAATGGCCCACAACTACATCTTATAGATCGTAACTGAAGGGTCATGTAGGAGTCGTCTGTTCGAGTCAGGCCCGAGCAATCGACAAGGTAGTTCAGTGTCTTTTTCTACAAAGAGTACCAGATGGTTCGGTTCGTTCACTGGCCCGGGAAAATGAAAGTTTCAGCTGAAGAGTATTTTTCCGTTTACCTTGCGCGTTTAACAGCGTACTTGTCCGTTTAAACGTGGCAGCCGCCGAGTGGGAGCAGGTTCAAGCGGTACGTACATCGGCAGCTTGTCAGGCAAATATGGGCAAGACCCATCGCTAAATGGCGCCTGAAAATGAAAAAAAAATGTTGCGAGCTTTGCTGAAGTCCGATAGGCCCGCCGACGTCGGAATCGGTCTCCCGAGCAGGATATTCGCCAGGTTGTGTGAGAGGTTGGTGGCGGTGGCGCACGCTGCCGTACAGCAGGTCCAAACACAGGCCTGCTCCCTCCTCTCACGACGCGCGTCGCAGAATGGGCCCCCATTCGCGCCCGTGGTTTGGCCTGTCGGGGAAGGTATAATGCTCACGCGTGGATGGGTTGAAGAAGACGCGTCAAGTCGATCAACCGGCCAGACTTGACAGGCCCAAATGGGTTACCCAAATTATTTAATTATAATAATTACTGGCGGACTGCTGCTCTCTGCCTGCTGCCACTGCCAGGATGACCTTCGCGGTGCTGCGCGCCCTGCACGCCATCCTCGGCGACGCCCTCAGCGACATCGAAGCCGTCTACGCACAGGCCGACCCGACCCCGACCTCAACCCCGCCGCCGCCACCGTCGCACAGAAAGGCCCCGTCCGTCTCCAAGGCATACGCCAGCCCCCCGCCCTCGCCGTCGTCCGCTCTCCCGGGCCACACCGCCGCCAACCCCCCGCGCCTCGACTTCCCCTCGCTCGACGCGCCGTGCGACCCCGCGTCCCCCAGCGAGCAGCTCACCGGCGCACCCCGCTGTCGTCGCCGCCATCAACCGCATCGTCGCCGCCGCGGGCCAGCTCGCCGCGTCCGTGCAGGTGCCCTTCCTCTCGCTCTGCGACGCGAGCATGGGCTACCACCTCCCGGCCTGCCTCCGCCTCCTCGAGGCCGCGCACGTCCCCGAGCTCCTTCGCGCGGGGCCCGTGCATGTCCGCGAGATCGCGGCCCGCACGGGCGTGGAGCAGGCGACGCTCGGTGGGTGCGCTCTTCTTGATAGGTGACTAGCGTGCTGAGCTGCATCGCGCAGCACACATCCTCCGCCTGCTCGCGACGCACCACCTCCTGCGCGAGGCCGCGCCGGACGTCTTTGCCACCAACCGTATCAGCTCCCTCCTCGACACCGGCAAGCCGCTGCACGCCCTCGTCGCACAGTGTGTTCCTCTCCTCTTCTCTGTTCCCGTCTCTGTTCAGCCTCCTTCCTCGTCTGTCTTCCTTCCTCGCGCTCTCATCTCCGCGCGCCTGCCTTTTTTCTTCTCGTTTTTCCAGCCCACGCCCTTCCTGTGCTTCAACCCATTCGGCCTCTCACTTCATTCCCACCATTTCCGTGTCTCCATTTCCGTTTCTCCATTTCTCAGCACCACCCCCTCCTCGCGCCCCCCCTCGCCTCCCGCGGCCCCATCACCCTGATTACCTTTTACTTTCTGCTTCCCTGACATCTGCCACCGCGCTTCCATTACGTGCGCCCTTCCCCGCCCCGTTCCTGCGGCCCTCAAGCCTCTTCGGGCGTCTTCGTGACGCGCTGAGACTTATTCTTGGTTTCTTCGCGACTTCGTGTGCAGCCGAATCGGTCTCGGCTCTCGGTTCGAGTGCGCGCTGATTTTTTTCTGCAAGCGGTTTCCGTTTTCCCGTGTCCGTTTGTCCGATCGAACCAGTCTTGTTTCTGCGGAGGTTGGGTTGCCGTTTTCCGTTTCCGTTTTTCCGCGTGCGTTGGTCGGTTCGCGGGTTTCCCGTCTTGGTTTATTCGGCTACCCGGTCCTGTCCGCATCCTCCTGCCGCATCGCATCCTCCTTCCTATTCCCAAATTCACGTTCCTTTCTTGAATTACTACTTACCTACCCTACCAACCAATCGGACGAATGGACGTGCTGACCCCCCCCTTTGTCTTTTGGCAGTCCGGAGCGCAAGCACGAGGACGGCACGAGCGGCGTGGCAGCGTTTGTTGGGCTTTGGTAGGTTGTCTTTCTTTGTTCTATTTTTTTTCGTTCTTGCTTTCGTTTTTGCGGCACGTTGTTTGTGGGTTTGGTTGGTTTGGTTTCGCTCGCCACGCGGATCGGTTATCCGCGGCTTGCATCCCGTTCTCGTTCCCTGTTGTTGGTCCGCCTTGCGCTTCCGGCGGTGGTTGTTTTTCGTCTGTTGGTTGGTTTTCCACCTATCTATATTCCGCCGGACGCGAGTCGTGTTCTGCGGCGTGGGAGGGCGCATATACGCACCCGCCGCCCTTGAACTGCTGGATCTAATTCTTGATTCTTGATTCGTGGCGCGGGATTCGTGGCGCGGGATTCGAACTCCGCGTAGGGGTGGGTCGGTTCGTCTGTCGGTTGGTTTTCCGTTGGGTTTGTCTTTATTCCGTCGGACGCTCGTCGTAGTGGGTGTGGGAGGGCATATATGCACCGTTTTGGCGCATACGCATCTTTTCGCGCGCATATACGCACCCTCCGCACTATGGACTGCTGGAACGGATTCTGCATTCTGCATTCTTGGTGCAGGATTCGAACTCCGCGTTGGGGTGGGTTGGTTCGCAGCGTGGGTGGCCCAGCAACGTTTGGGACGCATATGCTGCGCCTGCTTTTTTGTGCAGTTCGGACGGGACCGTACTTGGATGTGTTGCGAGGTCGAGCTGAGTGCACGGTATATGCGCCTTTTTTCGGGAATACACGCGCCTCTTAGCCTCGTCTCGCACTTGGCTCGCTCCTTTCTTTATTATATTCGATTTTTGAATATCAAACTTATTTTATCTTTCTGCAGCACGGACACTGTACAAGTCGAGCGCACACCTGACCGCCGAGTGGGTCTTCCCCGGCGCGGCGCGGCTGTACCCGACCTCTGACGCGTCTGCTGCGCCCACGCCCAGTAAGAACGCAGACACGAGCGCGCCGAGTACCAGCACGAATGCGAATGCAGCGCGGAACGCGGGTAACGGCGCGAGCCAGGCAGCGACCCGACGCGCGCGCCGTTCAACTACGCGTTTGGGTGCGGGGGCGCGAGCCGTCGGCGGGGCGAATGGGAACGGGGGCGGGAACGGGAAGCCAAGTGCGAACGGGAACGGGAACCGGGAGCGGGGCCGCGAGCCCGAACCCGAACTGGTTCCAGCTGGAGTGCTTCGGGAAGGCGATGGCGGGGACGGGGAGCTGGGAGGCGCCAGGGGCGGTGTTGCATGGTGGCTTCGCGTTCTTGCTTTCTTGCGTTCTTTCTTTCTCCTGCTTTTCGTTGTCCTTTTTTTCCTTTTTCTTCCTTTCTACACCTGTTTGCTGCCGCCCCTGCCGCTGCCCCGCGCCCCGCAGACACTGCGCCACGTCCCGTCCTCGCTCGTGCTCAAGCAGCCGCACCAGCTCCACCATCACCCGAGCCCGCCGTCGCCCGGGCCCTCGCGCATCCCCGCGCTCACGCGCCGCGCGTCGCACGCGCAGCTGCAGCTCCCGCAGACGGAGCTGCGCACGCGCTCGGGGAGCGTCGTACACCCCGGGATGGCGCGGCCGCGGGTGACGCGGGCTTGGGGAGGTGTAGTTGCTCGGTGTGGCGCTCGGTCTCTATGTATTACAGAGGGTCCTACTATCGCTATAAATCATTATTTCTGTGGGCGGGGAAGCGAGGAGACCTGCCTTTCATTTTAGGTGAGCGATGTCTGCTGTGTCGAACGTTAATGATGTTTAATGCTGCCTGAAGCGCATTAAGATCGTGGCATAAACCCAATTAATATTCGAGGGAAAATTACTGCTCCGAGAAGGCCGGGAGGGCTCGTTTGCCCGTCAAAATGTTACTGAACGCAGATAATGCGACAACATCTCCGGCATATTCGCGACTGGTTTATGTAACTCAAGAATACCCTTTCGACTCTCTCCACAGCGGCGTCATGGCCTGCGCGACCACATTCCCCGCCGTCTCCAACACATCCAACACATCCTTCAATTCCTCGTTCATCACCGTGAGGAGCATGCCCCGCGCCTTCCATTTGTCCGGATGGAACATTCGATGCACGCGTTCGACAAGGCTGTTATACTCCGCGA